TATCCGAGATAAGATATTGGTTGACCCGGATTATCCTTCATTGCGTGAGTTTCCCCGTAGTGCACCTTCCCGGAATTTATTTCCAGATCCTGATTCCTTCCTTGGAAATAGCGTTTATTGGATCTAGCCAAGTCCGCCTACATCGTCCAGTATCTGGATGACTGGGCGATACCGTTTCCGGCCGAATTCGATTATCCTGGAGAGAGTGTTGTCATGTTCGAAATCCTTTATAGGATTTGTTATGTCCTTGGCTTCCCAACCTCCCAACACATTGTTGCGCCCTTGGACAAGAAAACCCTTCACTGTGCCATCCTTTCCGCACGTGAATCCCAGGAGCGGGGCAATACGGCCCGCGATTTTTATCCCTTCGACGTTTCCGGCGAGTTGACCGATCACTCGTATTACGACGACGAGTACGGCGTTCCAATCCCGGCCGTTTTATACGGGAACCAGTCTTCCCAAGTTGGAAGCTGTCTGGACGCGTCTATCGGGTGGGAATATATCTGCGGCGAGGAGGAAGGGTCGGGAGAGGAGTCGGGATAGGGGCTTCCGCATGTTTGTTCGTATTTCTGAAAGGTCCATTTCTTGCGCGTCTTGGTCACATGCGCCAATTTTCTTCAATCTAAACTTCGCATATTTGCATAATTTGCCTTGGGAGTGATCAATTCCGTTCGGCCACCGTGAGGGATTTTACTCGTCTCCTCGATGCTTGGTGAACTCCAGTTTCACTTGATTCGTTGGCGCGTCAACTTCCTAAATTTCCTATACTTCGTTCCGTCTACGGGCTTCTTCCCGGAAATTCGTTCCTGTGAGGTCTTCCTACGTGATTCCTGATTCCTGGTTCCTATAGCCGGTCCGTTCTTATTTTTGGCGACCGTTTCTTCTGTTTCATAGTTCCTGCCAATTTCGTCCATGACGGTTCGTATCGTACCCGAATTTCCATTCGGGTAGATTTGCCGAATTCGGCCAGATCTACGTTCCCGGAGAATGTTTTCGAGGAGATGATCTTCGCTTCCAGGTGGCGCGTAGCAGTCACGTGATCCTCCGATCAGATCTCGGACAGGGGCCTTCTTATAGCATCTAGATCAAATAAAACGCGATATTTTCCGCGCCTTTCCTTCCCTTCCCTTGAACGACGCGTCTAAACGCGCCCGCCGCCTCGTGGCATCCGTGGGACCATCCCGAACCTTATTTCGCTGCGCATCAGTCTTCGATCAAAACATACCGATTTAAGGTGCGTCCATTCAATTCGTCCCTGGCCTCATTTCTGACTCCATTCTTCTTTCTTCCCAACCGCCACGTCCTCACTCTGGCTTCCACATTCCTCCTTTCTTGCCTTGTGTACTTCTCGGCTCTGGCGACTTTTGCGCTGGGGTTCTATCTCGGTCGTTTGTTGTATGGCCCCTGGACACAGTAAACCTCTTCGTAGGAGCAGCCGCGAACGTCGTCCGCCTCCTTCGCCTCCCTCAGCTACTCTCAGGAAAAGCGGCCGGTCGAGTAAGATCGTGGTGAATCGAAAGTCTTCGTAAGTCGCCGCCGTGTCCCTCCCTTTCAACGATGTTGACCGATCCCCGTAGTTTAGCAAACAACGCGTCTTCTGTGGAATCTGCCACCGAATCTGGCTCAGATTCACAGGAGTCGACCTCCTCGCAGCCCGCCTTCTCCAAGCGCCGCGCAGCCTCTACTTCCTCCGACGACGTACCCCTTTCGCGAGCCGTTCCCGAACGAATGGGCAAGAATCGCGGCCGAGTCGAAGCCGACGACGACGTGGTCATGGAGGAGGAAGACGCCGGCGAGGCCTCTGCCTCTGGGGTTCGCGAGACGCGGAAGGGCGATAAGCGGAAGGGGAAGAAACCGAAAGCCACTCCGAAAGTGACTGAGCCTCCCGCAAAACCCAAATCTTTGTCGCAGGTTGCCGCCGATCGTTCTGAATCCCCTGTCGCATCCACCTCCCAGCCCGTTGAGATTCCTCCGGACTATATCAGGACCGACCTCCAATCGTGCGCCGACCACGCGGATTTTGAATGGGCCAACATTAAATTCCCAGTTTCTCTTGATGAATCCACCGTCATTCCTCGCTGGGCGTACGTTCGGGAGTACACCATGGAGACTGCCTGCGAGCACATGCGCGTCCTTCGCATGGACGAGCCTGATTTTCTTCGTCGTCCAGGTTGTTCTGATGCCGATTTCGCCCACCAGGGGTTCCTTTTGATGAAGCCGGGCTGCGACCTCTTCCCGGGCGGGAAGTCTATCCAGGCTACCCTCCTTCGGTTCAATGGCTTCAACCTTGCGTACCAGAGCGTTCGGTACCGCCTCCCCGCGATAAATCCTCCCGGTCCGTTCCCTGAAAATCCCAGTCATCCATTTTTCTTCGATCCCGAAGACCCTGAGCCTCCTGAGCCAAGCACCGACACCAAGCCGTACCCTCCTTTCGTCGACAAAGCGTGCTACACGATGGCTGAACGCAGCGCCAAGAAAGCGGAGTGGCGGAACCTGTCGTCCGCGCACAATAGTTCGGAGGCGGAGCGCGTTCGTTGCGATATTGAGGCGTACAACGTCGACCACGCTGCCTGGGAGGAAAGGGCTTCTCTTCGTATCGCGAAGGCTCGGGAACGTGACGAGCGTGAGATGGGGGTTATCACGTCGTACAACCGCCGGCGTCGGGAGACCATTGACGAATTCCGCGGCGCGTGGAACACCGCCGGCGCGTATCTCGTTTTCCTCGTCACCGACGACCTCCGCCGTTCCCGCCTTGCCGATATCAAGGACACGAGCGTCACCGCCGAGGCCGGTCCCTCTTGGCTTCCACAGCGTGGGCGTGCCCAGCTCGATCTTCATCCGTCCGTCGAAGCGCTCTCCGAGTCCGACCTTCCCAAGTCGGTCCTGGAGGAGGTAATCGGTCCCAACGGCTTCAAGGAAGATCTCTCCAAGTACGATCTTCAGACCTTGGTGACGATACTCCGCGTCATGAAGATCCAGGGGGTCATGATTGGGGAGGCGCGTTCGCAGACGTATATTTCGATATTCGCGGGTGCCGAGAACGATTATGATCCCGATGCTTGGCACAAGGCCAATTTGCCGTTCGACCCTAATGCTGGAACTGGTCGTCGCGTTCGTGGATGGTCCGTGGATCCGCAGTCTTCCTCCTTCGTCGAAGGGTTCGTGCAGGACGAGCTTCTTGCCGCTGCGATACCAAGGCGTATGTTCTTTACCCGAGGAATTGTAAGTTTCCGTCCTTTTTTGTTCTTCTTCGGCTAACTTGTAAATTTCCCAATAAGGGTTGTATCGAATGCCTATTCGGGATGATTCCGTGCATTCGAATAATGCACGGAGACAAGGCCTCCGGCTCTTGCATCCACTGCCGCGCTAAGAAGAACAAGTGTATCAAGACGCCCGGGCGGTATTGTTTCGGGGTAACGGGTGAGTTTCGCTTCTAAATCCTATTTTCCGTCGCGAAGCTCGATTGCTGATGGCGTCTTTTTGTTTCCCAGACCGGATCCTGGCTCTCTTCAACGAGCACTGGATCCTTTTCATCATCCTGGAATCCCTTCGCGACCAACATCGCCTTACCGGGGGTGGACTTGCCGAATCGATCCTCAGTCTTCTTTTCCGCTGGATTCAGGCTACTCGCGGGATGGACGCGTCCGCGCTCGCGCGTCGTTCTTTCTATGACCTACTCGCGCAAGTGCCTTCATCTGTCCCTCCTGGGAAACCGGAATTCGCACTCCCTTCCGTGCTCGCGGACGCGTTCGAGCCAGTCGAGGGTGGACTTGGGATTGGGGATGAGGAAGCCGACGAGGAAGCTGGTGAGAGCGCTGCAGATGCCAAGGGAAAGGGAAAGCGTCGTGCTTCAGACGAGCCCGCAGGTGAGTCCTCAGTAGTTTTGCTATCTAGTCCCCTAACTGATCATTTGCTTCAGGGAATTCTGCCAAGCGTCGCCCCCACCGCGAGACTTCTGTGCCCTCCATCGTTATCATGCAGGACCAGGGGATGGACGGCGCCGACTCTAGCAGGGAACTCGGGCTGCCGACGTCGCCTGTCGAGCCGCCACCTTCGTCTTCGGGATACGCCACGACTTTGGATTCCACTCCTCCGGCAACTACACCGCCTCTGCCCCCGCCAACTGGTTCCCGCGTTCCTACTCCGCGCGCGCGTACTCCTTCCCTTCATCCTCAGTCCTCCTCGTTGTCGGACGCCTTGGGCATGTTCGGTCCGTCGCCTTCCCTTTTGGCTCCTCGGGGTCCCTCGCGCGGCTCTGTCCCGCCCGTCGCATACGTTCCGCCCACCGCCGACGAGTTGTTCGACGTCGATACCTCCGTCGCCCTCCCGGAACATCCTTCCGGCGAGGCATCTGGGGGCGGCGGTGTTCCTCCTTCGGCGGACGCGATGGATACCGATTCGTAGGGGATCCTGGGGCTTCGTGGAACTTTCGTCCGGGGTGGTTTTCGTGTTTGCTGAACATTGCCGATTCGTTTTCCCTTGAACTCCCCAGCCTAGCTGGGTCGAGCAGAGGCGTACCCATGTCTAATTTGTCTTGCTGCTGTGCCTGTCGCTGCCCTCCTGGGCCTATTTCTTGCTCGTTGCTGTCTCGTATGCTTGTCCTCGGTAGTTTTGTTAATTACCGCATATCTTGTAGTCTTTCGTTTGTTTTCTTGGTAGTTTTGAAATGTACCGCTGTTCTCTAGTGCTTAAACCGCGTGAACCAGAGCGAGAAAATGAATCCCAAGTTCAATTTTGCCCTTCGAGCATATTTCGACGCGTCGCGTCGCGGTCACGTGCGACACCGAAAATCATGGATTTGAGGGAAGTCCAATTCCACGCTTCCGGCGTCCCACCTGGATCGTACTGGGTAAATCGTCGGCCTTATGGCGTATTGGAAACGCGTCGCCCTGAATTCTCTGGCATTCGGTGATCGTTTATTGGCGAAGATGTTGGTTCGACTCCAACTAAGGCCCTGCCTTGAAATAGCTTGCCTTCTTGATACCTGCTTTTTTATTATCGGCCCTATGGCGTATCGGTAGCGCATCGTCACTTGGTGGACGCGTCCGACGACTGTGTTGGTTCGAATCCAACTGGGGCCCTTTTCCAGCTCCTGTTTTTCCTTTTCCAACGAAGCTCCCGTGGCGCAGGGTGCGCACTCCCTCCAGGTGACCCTTGGAGACGCCTTCGTTTCGGGGAGGCCAAGGGTTCGATTCCCTGCGGGTGCATGATGCTGACGGATACAGATTTTTCGCGGTCACATGTCTCCGTGTTTTTGGTACCCGGGGGTTCAGCCAAGGCGAGAAAAACCTCTTGCTTCCGTGTTTTAGGGGATAATATCTTCTTAGGAATGCCGTTTCTCGTTCCCGGAAAGTTCTTCCAGACACTCTAAGGTGCCTTTCCTGGAGGTAAGATGCGCAGTTTTCTTTCCGGAAAGTATGTCCGGGGGGGGAATTCGTGTCTGAAGGAGGTTCGGAGGCGTTTTTCGAACGATTCGGGAGGAAGGAAACGAGTTGAGAGTGGAGGAAGTGGATGAATTGAAATGAGATTTTGAGGCGAGAATACAATTTTTGCATAATGGATTCTGGAAGTCCGTGTCTTGCTTCATCCTTTTTCTACCCCCTTCTATTCTGGGACTGCTGACTGCCCCTCGTACTGCCTCCTGCCATTATCTCCCCATTGCGGCTCCTTTCCCTTCTTGGGCTTTGGCGTTTTCGGCTCTATGAAGCTTGTGACGGAAATCCTAATCCGTGATCGAGGGAAATATGGGATCAATCGAAAGGCTGCGACCGGCATTTTGGAAACTGCGCCGTTCATTTCCGCTATCACGTAGGATCCCTCGGATTTTCGTTGGATAACAACCATGGGGCCCGAATATCGGGGCTTGGCTTTTCGCGACCACTCGTTTTCGACGGAGGAATTCCTCAAGAGCACAAGTGCCCCCAACGGAAAGTCGAAGTCCTTGATTTTCTTTTTGTTGTCCTTTTCCCACTGCCTGGCGCTCTTCACCCGTGACTCGTAGACCTTGCTCCGCAATTCGGATAATTCTTCCGGACGTTTCATCAGCTGGAGAGCTCGCATTCCTATCAATTCTTCGGTGGAGAGCTTCTCTCCGGAGATTTTGGTCATGTAGGTGGCTTCAACGATGTCGAATGGGAATAGTGGTTCGACGCCGTGGGCAAGATAATACGGGGAGTATCCGGTGGATTTCTGGATGGAAACTCGTTCCGCCCAGAAAATGTAGAAAATCTGTTCCGTCCACAAGTCCAGATTGCCCTCACAGGCTTTGGAGATTGCTTCCCGTACATCGTAGTGTCGTCTTTCCACGATGCCGTTGGCCCTTGAGTTGTATCCGGAAATGCGAATATGGTTGATTCCGTATTTCTTCGAGAGCCAATCCACCGCTTTTATCCAAGCCGCTCCGTTGTCCGTCACGATTTCTTCGACTGCGCCCCATCGGCACAAAACTTCCTCAAAGATGAAGCATCCCAGGGAATATGCGTCCTCGTTTTCCAACATCCGCCATTCGGGCCAACTGCTCAGCGAGCATCGTCCCTGGGCGAGGTATCGGTATCCGTTTGTGTGAGGTAACATCATGGTGTCTCCGTGGAATTTGTGGAAGAGGGGTAAGGGCATCGCGACGATGGGAGGTATATTTATTCGGAGCTTTGACCGGATCTGGCATTCGTGGCACGTCTTCAAGAACCATTTAAGGTCTTTGTCCATGACCGGCCACCAGAACCTGTCCATTAGGCGCTTCCGGGTGATATAAAATCCTTTGTGTCCCAAATCGTCGTGAACCTGTCGAAGGACTGACGCTCGCTTCTCTGGGGGCAAGACCAATTTGTGCTCGTGATGCTCGTCGCGTCGCCAAAGGCCTCCATCTAGGATGAAGTATTTGCTGGCCTTTCTGACGAATCGTTCGAATTTATCGTTGTCGTCGGACATTTCTTCCGGCCTTTCGCGTTGTTTGAGGAAGGCCTCGATTTGGATTAGCTGGGCATCCGCAGCGATGGCTTTTTCGTCCCTTGGGATCTCGAACTCGATGTCGTCGATGAGCTTCATATATACTCGCACCGGTGGCTGTGTTTGGAGTGCTGGAGAAGGTCGGAAGATTTGTCCAGGTACCTCTCCGATCGCAGGTCTGCCGTTTATGAGGAGTTGGCGAGCGGGGATAACCTCCATGATCGAAGATTTCCTTTTACGTCCCCAATTCATGACTTGAATTGCGAATCCACATGCCCGGTCGATCCATTCGTCGACATCATCTTCCTGCTCCGGATCTTCTTCGGCTGGCTTCCTCCTGGACAATCCGTCCGGTGTATGAGTTATTCCCGGGGTATGTTCTAGTTCGAAGTCGAAAAGAAGAATGGCCGCTATCCAGCGGTTGACCGCCGCGTTTGGTTGAATATCGGGATTATTGAGCATTCCTTTGATATATTTCGCGTCGACACGAACGAGGAGGTCCTTCACGCCCACGATGTATAACCGGTAAGCCTTCAATGCTCGGAACAATCCATAGAGTTCCAGCTTGGCTTGTGAATAACGGGCTTCCCGTTCATTCCATGTCACCGATCCGAACCTGGAAGGATATTCCAGACCGTCGGCGCCAAGTTGCGAAAGAATATAGCCGGCTCCTCGGAATGAAGAGTCTACGGCCATAATCACCCGTCTGCCGCAGGCGTAGTCGATTTGCCGCAGAGCCGGTGAACTGATCAATAGCTGCTTTAAGCGATCCATCGCGATTTGTTCGGCGTCGGCGAAGATGAATGGGGCATCTTTTCGTAATAGTCTGGTAAGTGGCGTGGCGACTTCGGCAAAATTGTCCATGAAGATCCTCATCAGCCCTAGCGTTCCCAGGAATGCTCGGACGTCGGTGAGGTCCTCACAGGGCGGCCAATCACGGATCTTCTGGACTTTCGACTCGTCCGGTGTCCTTCCTTCGATGCTGCAGACATGTCCAACGACTTTTATCCTGGGGACAGCAAAGAATGACTTTTTCGCATTGAAGGTTCCTCCCGCATGCCTTATTCGCTGAAGAATTCGGTTAATATTCAGGAGGTGTTCCCACACAAACCGTCGGATTCCTTTATTTTCCGGGATGGTTTCGAAGTCGCCATTTTCCAACAGGTAGTATGTCGTCGGTCCCTTGACCGGAGTGTCATCCACGAAGGGCTGCGTGATATGGGGAATTTCGTCCTGGAGGATAAAATTTACATCTCCTTGTTGAATTTGGACTGAATTCGTATATCCTTGGGGCAAGCGAGTGAGCCTGAGAGTCCCGAATGGTCCTTGAAACGTCGTGAAGTCCCGGGAAGCTATGTCCAACATCCTGTGATCGAATCCAACGAATAGATCGAACATTCCGTAGATGGCGCAACCTCCGAAGGACTCGGCATAAACTTCCACGATGGGTGGACAGCCCGCGTCTTTGACGACTACCCCGTTTAATGGTTGGAGATTGTGAACCACACCAGTGGTTGTAGCTACAATACATTATGGACACACCTGCTAGGGGGGTACATTGTATAGAAGACACACCCTGGCCGGCCGGCCAGGGTGTGTCTTTAATGCATTATGGGCCTTACCTGACCTATCGGGCACAAAAGCAATGGAAAAAGACATATTCCAGTGCCGTGGCCGATGCCGCTCTGCTTATCCGTTGCAGACCGTCAAAGATACATTAAATGTGGTATAATAATTACAATTTGGCGTAAATGGCGTTGAATGGCCGAAAGCGTCCGTTTGTCCGTGTTTAAAATCCCTGGCAAAGGCCTCCCATCGACCGAAAAAGGATTCTACTCGCCCTCCTCGTCCGCCTCAAGCCGCGCCTCCTCCTCGTCCGGCTCCAGCTCATCCCCAAGATCCATCGTCACGACTATCGTCTCATCGGCCTCCACCAGCAGGGTGCCGTCCAGGAAATGGTCTGCCCGGCGGAGTATGGCCCCCCACTTCTCCTCCAGCAGGGTGCACGTCTGCCGCTCACGTTCCGCGTGCTCTGCGGCATACGCCTGGCGCCCCTCTGTTAGCTCCGCGCTCGAGCCGGGCAGCTCCTCCTCCGCCAGCTTGTCCCATATCGCCTCCTCCGTCCGTCCGAATTCCATGGTACGGCGCATTTCCTCGCGCAGGATTCGGACGTCTTCGGTATACCTCTTCGTACGTGAGAATGCCTTGATCCATTCCACGCGTAAAGCTGCATAAACCGCGTCAGTTGCCACTTCCTCCTGTGCGTCGACAACTCACCATCGTAGAAGCGCGGGTCGTCGGTGTCGTCCCCGCCCGCCCCTGGGTCGGCTGTATACCAGATCCAGGAGAGTGTATGCGCTCCCTCCCCCGTTGCTAGCCCCGAAGCCCTGGCGATACCTCCCTCTATGATTGCGCCGCCCAATTCGGCCCAATGCTCGTTCTGCGCCTTCTCTTCGGCCGTGAGGGCGCGCTCATTGAGCGCACGGACGTCATCGTCCTTCAGCACCCGCAGCACGGTCTCCCAGTCGCCATGACCCTCCAATGCGAGGAGAGCCGCACGGGAATAGCGGTATCGGACCTTGGCGAGCGAAATCTTGATGTTAACCCGGCGCAGGATTCCCTGCCCTTTCGTCATCATTCCCTGCCCGGTGTAGTTGCGGAGACGGAACCGGTTCGTCATGGTCCTCGTCCTGAGGCCCTGACGCACGGCCTCCAGAGCCTCACCCGCCTCCCCTCTCCTCATGCGCCTTTCCACCTCTGGCAACCCGATTGCGCAGACCCGACCTCGCAGCGCGGCATCTGCAATCTCGGACGGCATGAAGAGACGAGTAGCCTCGGGCAGCTGCTCCCCGTTCCCGTCGAATACCTGCCGTTGATCGTCGCTGAGGATGCTGCGAACCGCGGGCATGTACACCCGCTGGATCTTCCGGAATCTGATGATCTGCTTCAGCAACGTCGTCCTGCGCTTCGTGAAAGCCAGCTTCTGTGCCGCTGTCGGATCCTTGAGCGCCCTCACGTCAATCTCCAGGCGGCGCCTATGTGGAAGTGTGAACGCTTCATTCCAAGAATTCAGAGGAGACGGCACGTACTGCACTTCCTCCAGCTGCAACCCCATCGTTAGGAACGATCCGGGGGA